AATTTTGAAAAAAAAAAATGTAAATATGTGATTGCAAGACTTTACCTTCTTAATTCCACCAACGACACAACATGGCATCGGAGCCCATACTCCTCTATTTGAATTTTATTTTTGTCCTTTTCCCAAGATTAGCATTGGTAAACTAAAACCTTAAAATTTATCCCGCATTTCTCTAATAATGACATTGAAATTCTCTCTTCTACTCTACTCTTTGGCTATCCAGAAACTGCCAGGACAAACAATTTTCCCAGCAAAACCAGAAAAAAACGTCTTCCCACAGTAAAGTCAATAGCTATTCATACATCGACAATATTTGATATTTTTGAACGCAGTTTGATACTTGAATTTGATGTTCGCTTCTTGATGCGGGCAGTGGCAGGGAGACTGGGAGGAATATGGGAATTTTACTCATAAGCCCTTGATCTTTTTTGAAGCCACTTTTTGGGTGGTGGGCAATTTGGGTGAGTGAATTGATGGTGACGATGATGGTGGAGGGTTTTAATCGAATGTTGGGAAATTAACTTGTTGAGGTTATGTTGAGGATTTTCCAAGTTTTCAATTTTGCATGAAAAAGGTATTGTTGTGCTGTTATTTTTCATTGCCCGTATAATTTTAAGGGGGGTTAATTAAGATGTTATGTCTTAATGTTGACTTTTTCTTTAATTAAAATCTTAAGGATGTGGATAAAGATCAAGGACATTTACAAAGAAGAAGACGGGGTTCATGAGGTTATGATCTGTCGTTTTGGCAACGATATTTCATGTTATTATAGAGGCCAAGGGTAAGATATCCCTCTATGTGTTTTTTATACCTACAGCCATATGGCTAGAGAGGGAAAATACCATTTGATACGACCAAAACGTGCCTCATCGAAATAACAGTTTTGGACCCCAGGTCTCTTTGGAACAAATCCGTTTCAGGGCATTTGGAGTCGATCTAGTGATGTCCGTCCGTCGGTCTGTCTGGCTGGTGCGCACGATAACTCTGGAAGAGAGTATCCGATTTAGTCCAAACTTGGTACATCGTAATACTATTATCAAACTTAGATCAAATTCAAAGATGGGCAATATCGGCCCACTCCTTCTGGTACCTCCACCACAAAAGGTCGAATTTTTCAAAAAAATATATATATATTTTATTGCACAGAAAAAGAAAGTATAATCCGATTTTGCAACCAACTTTGCAAATTTTGTTCCAAATATTTGCATCAGTGCTAGGTCATGTATGAAAATATACGATATCGGTTCTCTGCATCAAGTACCTCCCCCATAAAGGGTCAAAATTTTTAATAATGGTAACTCTCATGAAATGGGATACCGTTTTTTAATTTCACCCTATATACCTCGTTGTGTCGTTTGGGAATGAACTATGTAATGCAAAGGAACTTTTCCCCCAAGTACCTACCTATTCACACTTAAGGTGAAAACACAAAAAAAACTCTTTTTTGACTGATTTCTGTCATCGGCTGGCTTCTTCGTAGATGAGTTTTAGGAGGTTGACTTAGTTCGATTTTGACCCTAAGTTCCTTTGTTCTTTTTCGAAGCGTGTTATATATTCTCACCTTTAGATATTTTTAGCTAAGCTTATTGGTCTATGACCTATGACCGTACAACTCTGCCTTTGACCCATCCTTGTCGATTTATCCTCACGGTGTTAAAACCAAACCCTCGTTAAAAAAATTTTGCTGCAATAGAAATAATAAATTATTCACATCTCAATATAATTATAAGAATTGAAGAAAACTACCTATTCAAATAGCCCTTATCATTTGTGTGAAACATTTTCTTTATATTCCCCACGCAAAAATATTCACATTTATATTTTCGGACCAGCATATTAAAACAGAGACGACCAGCTAAAGGTCGCGATCATGGCCCCGTAAAAATACTTTTTGGTCACACGCGTGCTAAGGGCACTGATCGTAACATTCAATAAAGTCACCCTCCCCTCATGACCCAGACACATACACACGCACACACATGTGCTCACTGCCAAATCCAACTAGATATCCTTAAAAGTTCGAGAGTCGCACACTTTTGTTTTTTTTTGTCATGCCGTCTGTTCGCGTGACGGCCCACAGTGCTCTCGGGTGGTTGCTATGAAATAGCGATGCTTGAAAGGGGGTTGGTGCACATAACAACACGTGTCCCACATGAGAACAACTGACAGCCGAGAATTCTTATAGGAATGTAAAAAACGGATTGCAGCATTGCAACTATCCGGGCAAGGCATATTTCGACCTAATGAAATTGGTTCACAAGGTTTTTTTTTCTACCCTCAGCCATATGGCTAAAGAGGGTATATATCATTTCATACGGCCAAAACATGTCTCATGGAAATAACGCTTTTAGACCCTAGGTCTCTTTGAACCAAATCAGTTTCAGGACATCTGGCTGGTGTCTTGCTGATAACTCTCGAAGGGAGTATCCGATTTTGATCCAAATTTGGTATATCGTAATATTATTGTCAAACTTAGATCGAGTTCGGAGATGGGCAATATCGGTCGACTTCTTCTAGTACCTCCCCCACAAAATGTCAAAATTTTCATTTACTGCACAGAAAGAGAACGGATAGACCGATTTTGCTCCAACTTTGCAGTTCCTAATATTTGCATCAGTGCTAGGTCAGGTGCGAAAATGGACGATATCGGTTCACTCCATCACGCACCTCCCCCACAAACGGTCAAAATTTGGAATAATTATAACTCTTATAAAATGTGATATAAGAATCCGATTGTCTTCAAATTACACACATCCCAATATTTTTATAAATTTAAGATATGGGGCTAAGATGGAATATATCGGTACACTCCTTCTGGTACCTCCCCCACAAAGGGTCAAAGTTTTGAATAACCAAAACGATCATAAAATCCGAAATAAGAATCCGGTTCACTTCAAATTACACACATCATAATTTTTTTTATTAACCCAAGGTCTGGTGTGAATATGGAATACATCGGTCCACTTCTTCTGGTACCTCCCCCACAAAAGATCGAAATTTTGAATATCCCTCAACCTCATAAAACACGAAACTAACATCCAATTCCGTTCAGACTTGGTACATCTCAATATTTCCAACAACACAAAATCTATTACAAGGAATGTAGAGATCGGACCATTTCTACTGGTACCTTCCCCACAAAGGGTCAAAATTTTGAATAACCAATACGATCATAAAATCCGAAATAAGAATCCGATTCTCTTCAAATTACACACATCACAATATCTTTGTTAACTCAAGGTCTGGTGTGAAGATGGAATATATCGGTCCACTCCTTCTAGAACCTCCCCTACAGAGGGTCAAAATTTTGAGTATCCGTGAATATGATAAAACGCGAATTTAACATCCGAATCCATTCAGACTTGGTTTATCTCAATATTTCCATCAACACAAGATTTGTTATAAAGATGGTAGAGATCGGACCATATCTTCTGGTACCTCCCCCACTAAGGGTTATAGTTTTGAGTAACTAAAAAGATCATAAACCCCGAAATAAGAATCCCGTTCTCTTCATATTTCACACATCCTATTTTTTATACTAACACAAGATATGCTGAGAAGATGGGATACATCGGTCCACTTCTTCTGGTACCTCCTCCACAAACGATCAAAATTTTGACGCTAATAAAACTCGAAATTAACATCCGATCTCATTCGGACTTGGTACATCTCCATATTTCAATCAACACAAGATCTGTTATAAAGACGGTTCAGATGGGTCCATTTCTTCTAGTACGTCCCCCGCATAGGGTTGAAGATTTTGGAAAACAAAACGCTCAAGGAAAGCGAAATAAGCATTCAACTCTCTTCAAATTTCACACAAACATTTTTGCTAACACAAGATCTAATGTGAATATGATAGGTATTTGGAACCCCTTTTGGTAACTAACCCACAAAGAGTGACAATTTTCATAAAACTAGAATAGACTCCAAAAACATATACGAATAACGAAGTAGAAAATAAATGAAACTATTAGGTATATATTAATGATTTTACAATTATGACGACGCCTGCATCACACTAACAAATTCGATATTTTGACAAATAATACATCGATTGGTTTGTCCAATAATTTTCATAAAGAAATTGCGAAGACAAGGAGGCAACAGTAGTAGGAAATAATTTCTTCCTCTCATTACTTACAAAGTAATAGTTTTCTTTTATTATTTAACTTGTTACCGTCGGATGGGACTTTTTGTACTTGTTTCTCTGTTATATGAAAGTACCTTATTGTTGCTTTTCATATTAAAATAAAAATGTATTAACAATTTACGCGTTAAATGTTGTTTTTGAAATGGAGTATTCTCTATTCACAATCAATAAATTCTCTCTCTCTCTCTCTCTCTCTCTTTTGATAAATATTTCCCTGTATTTGTTAGACAGGATTTTCCCATAACTTTTACTTTTTACCGCCAAATAAAAATCTAAATTCTCAGGATAATATTACTTCAATTATGCTGGCTGACGGCTTTCTGTTCCTGGGAACATTTGTGAAAAATGCAGGAAATGTAATAACGGTAAGTTTTCTGCATTGCAAACGAATGCAAAGAGTCAGCAGCCAGCATCGATAAAACTGACACACAACGCATCACAATATACATGGAGGAAGGAAAAAACACACACACACCACTCACAGTGGCCTATGCTGTAAACAATAGCAACAACAATGTTTGCTTGTGTGCTCTCCTTCTCTCTTACTCTGGCTTACTGTACAATGTATTTTGTTTACTCTTCTCTCTTGAATCTCAGTACAGCGCAACAACAGCACACATACACGAACGCACATACACAGCCAATCCAATGCTATGATTCGTGGTTGTTGTTGGGCACACACATTCAGACCTAGCGGGCGAAACGGCCATTGCTGAATTCTGATTGGTGGAAATGTAATTGAAAACGCTGTTCACCTAAATTGGGTATAAAAAGACAATCATCGCCCGTTTGCGATTCAATTAAGGGCCATACGACGCAGAAGAACAACGGTAGAGTGTGGTGTGTAGCCGTCGTCGTTGTTTTCTTTTGAGAATTAAAGTACATAGTGTAAAAATAAGAATAATAATAGAAAAACAGAAAAATCCCTTTGAAAGTGCAAAGATTTTTTGATAATATCATCATCCGTGTGACCACTTTATAAACGTTGTTGCAGTTGCGTTTAATGTAATTAATTAGTTTAGCCACTCAGCCGGACGGACAAACTGAGGCATATCACAATTGTACAAGTGCCGTGCCGCCCCGCCAATATCATCAATTTGATTAATTGATTTAATTTCACATTTTCGCGCACACTTTGATTAAGCAAAATGGATTAAGTTACGCCGCCGCCAACAGACATTTAAATAGTCGTGCGAATTTTCCAATTAAAAAAATAGTAATACGCGTAAATGTAATAATTGCAATTAACAGAAAACTATAAACAAACAATTAAAATACACACACATACATATCTATAAACAAAGTTCCTAGAAAAAAATCAAGTTAAAATCAAAAACAAATTTCAATAATGGAGCACACGGCTTTTGAGGATCAAATATTTAGTGAATTTTCGGGACCCTTAAGTCCTTTGGATGGCAAACCCCTGACACCAACATCTGTGGCCCATGGCATGCATTCGGTAATGTTAAGTTTGCCACCGGGAGCCACTGTTATGCAGCATCCCGGATCCGCCGACATGTGCTCCCAACGTTTGCCCGACTGTCAAACGCTGTTATCCTCAACCTCACCCAAAATGGATCCCTATAAGTCTTCAACGCCCGATTACGACAATAAAATGGAATATGTCACAAAAATGGGTTGTTATTCTCCCACGCAGAAATATGAATACTTGACCACGGCAAATGGTGGTGGATCGGCCCACAAATTGGACCACCATCATCAGCAGTACTCCTCAACGCCGCCACCAACACAACCCGGTAATCATACGCCAAATGGTTTGGCTCATCAGCAGCACAAGTCAATGGCCCACCATCAAACCCATCCCCATCATCATCATCAGCAGCAGCAGCACCAACAAATCCATCATTCCCCCAATGCCATGTTGGACTATGTCCATCATCACCATCAGCAACAGCACCAACTTCACAATGCCAATGGAAAAATGGATTATGATCCCCATGGACATCAACAGCAGCAGCAGCAGCAACAACATCCTCATCATCAACAAACTCACCCCCATCACATCTATGCCACCAGCAGTCCCCATCACAATCACCATGAAATTATTAATGCCAATGAACATAATATGTCGCCATTAACCGCTAATGGCTTAATCGGCAACTCGTCGGCTGTGTCCGCCTCATTGGGGGCCAATCCAAATACCGACGGGAGCCTCTTGCAGCAAACGACCATGCAACCAGCAACGCCTAATAATGTGCTAACTGGCCCAGTACCGCAACAAACCAATGGTGGTCTTAACCCACAACAGCAGCAGCAACAACAACAGCAACAGTCACCAACTGGTTTAACAAATGGTCTGAAACTTAATAAAGGTAAACATGATGAGATGTGCTCCCCACCAAATCCAGACGCCAGTCAAAACAATGGCTCAACATCCTCGTCATCCATGGCCAATAGTAATACACCACCTGCTGTCAAAAAGAATGACAAAAAGAAAGGAGATCCCAATGGCATAAAAAAGAAGAAAACGAGGTAAGTCAAAGACCGTTTTTTGGGACAAATAAAGGGTGAAGGATTTTGGGGTTTCCTTGCTGTTTTTGCAATAACCAATGAGTTTACCTCAAATATATTTGAATATAGTTAGCAATTGGAATTTGTGAAGAAAAATTTCTTTGTGGGGAAGGTACCAGAAGTAGTAGACCGAAATATCCCATCTTCACAGCATTTCTTGAATTAGTAGAAATAATGGGATGTGTGATGTATGAAAAGAACCGAATGCTTATTTGGGATTTTATATTCGTTTTGGTTATTCAAAACTCTGACCCTTTGTGGGGGAGGTACCAGAAGGAATGATCCGATCTATACGAACTTTATAACAGATCTTGTGTTAATTGAAATTTTGGGATGTGCCAAGTCTGAATGGAATCGGATGTTAATTTCGTGTTTTATGAGGTTCATGCATATTCAACATTTTGACACTTTGTGGGGGAGCTACTAGAAGGAGTGGACCGATATATCCCATCTTAATACCAGATCTTGAGTTTATAAAAATATTGGGATATGTAAAATTTTAAGACAATCGGATTCTTATATCACATTTTATAAGAGTTATAATTATTCAAAATGTTGACCCTTTGTGGGGGAGGCATTTAATGGAGTCCACTGATATTGTCCATTTTCTCACCTGACCAAGCACTGATTCAAATATTAGGATTTGCAAAGTTGGAGCAAAATCGGATATTGTTTCTCTTTCTGTACAAAAAATATATTTTTTGAAAATTTCGAACTTTTGTGGTGGAGGTACCAGAAGGTGTGGGCCGATTTATTTCATCTTCACACCATACCTTGGGTTAATGAAAATATTGTGATGTGTGTAATTTGAAGGCAATCGGACTTTTACATCACATTTTATAAGGATTATAAATATTCTAAACTTTGACATTTGTGGAGGAGGTACTTTATGGAGTGGACCGATATTGTCCATTTTCTCACCTTACCTAGCACTGACGCATATATTAGGATTTGCAAAGTGTGAGCAAAATCGGAATATCCTTTCTCTTTCTGTGCAGAAAATAATTTTTTTTTTTTTTTTGAAAATTTCGCCCTTTTGTCGGGGAGGTATTAGAAGGAGTGGATCGATTTTGCCCATCCGCTAACTCGATCTAAGTTTGACAATAATGTTACAATGTATCAAGATTGGACCAAATCGGATACCGGCTTCGAGAGTTATCGTGCGCACCAGCCAGACTGACGGACGAACGGGCGGACGGACATCGCTAGATCAACTCCAAATGTCCTGAAACAGATTTGGTCATTGCCTGAAGCTTTAAAGCATCTTTGCGTCGGCCATAATGCATCTGTTTTTCAATCAGCTGAGGTTACTGGACAAATGTCTCCATTAAACATTTTTTAAATGCTCAGTAACCCAACTGTCAAAATTGCTCTCTTTACTGGTACTTATTTACGGGACTTTATAGAAAATATTAAAAAATACTGGCTTATCGTTCATACCTAATTGCTTTGTTCCAGAACTGCAAGAATGTAAAAGTTTTTAACTACGATAACCGATGTTCCCTCTATGATATCAAAAAAAATTGCGAAACAAGTAGATTTTGGCAGGTTCTGGAACAGAAAATGATAGGTGTACATCATACATTAGGTGTTGACGGGAATAGTCAAACTCACAACAGTCGATCGCCACGGAGTCGGCATCCCTGATCAAGTGGTTACCTGCGCTTCTGCGCTCGGACATGTGTTCTTACTTGGGAAAGGGTTCCTTGGCAGCCTCTCAGCAAGCCTCTCAGATACGGCCTGCTATCACTGTAATGACGCACAAAGGGCAAGTTGTTGTTCGGTACTGGCTTTAAATCAAACGCACAATGGTTTCTCTTTAGTTTTACTTTTACTTAGCGCTTTAAATGATATTGGGGGCACAACTTTATTTCTACGACCTTTTTGGTCAAGTGCAAAAAAAAAAAACAAAAAATCAAAAACTAAAATAAGATTATTCTTCTTCTTCTTATCAAAACATTTGTTTCTCTTTTCATACTCTGAGAGTAAGGGACATCGATCAAAGGCAAAACCAATGATGTGGCATTGCCAGTATAGAAAAAAGGGAGACACGACGTATATGGGAATTGCCTTCAAGGGCGAGTATTAGTGCTGCCCTTGTAGCGCTTTTTCCATGAACATTAGGTCTTTACAAAAACATAATATTTGCACAAAATATTACAAAATTTTGTTCGATAGCCCAAAAGTTCAGTAAATTAAGGGGGAGCAAATGGAGAAATTTTGACAGTTGAGTTACTAAAACGTCTATCTGGTTACTTTTACTGCAGGACTTAATGTCCAGCAGCTTACGATGGCGTACTCACGAGGTTGTTAGATATCGATTATAGGGATATTGTTCTCTGGTGCAGTTACTCGAGTGACCAGCCCGTATTTATTTCCAAGGTAGACTAGTCGTTACTCAAGTACGTAACTCCTTTGCCAAATGCTATTATTCTAACTTTATTTTATGGCTACAAATTTTAATTTCTCTCCTCTTCTTCTTCTTGTTTTCAGAACTACATTTACCGCCTATCAATTAGAAGAACTAGAAAGGGCATTTGAACGTGCCCCATACCCCGATGTTTTTGCTCGCGAAGAATTGGCCATAAAATTGAATTTAAGCGAATCACGGGTACAGGTTTGGTTTCAAAATCGCCGTGCCAAATGGCGTAAACACGAGCCGCCACGTAAGACGGGTTACATTAAGACCAGTACACCGCCCACATCAACACTGAATACGACACTGGCGGCACCGTTCGCCACGTTTCCCCAGACAACGACAGTGACGCCGCCCGGCAGCATGGACAGCTGGACAAGTTATCAACCACCCTATGAGCTAAGCCCACAATTTAGTTTACTTTCACCGGCCGCAAGTCCTTATGGCACCTATACCAGTCAATATGGTACCTATGTCCATGAATCGCAAATATTTCCAATGCGTCATTTTGAATATGGTAGTCCGCCAAGGGTGGAGATGGGCGGTGGAGGTGGTGGCTCGGTTCTGGCTGGTCCTACTCAGCCGGATGATGTACAAAAACTACATAATCATGATGCCACGGGTTATATGACACAGCCGGGAATGATGGCCGAAGATGTGACCACAGCCACCCATTTATCTGATGGTACCACCACCACCACCGTACATTTGGTCCATCAACAAAACGGTGGAAGTTCTAAATATCTGGGTAGCGATGAGACGAAATATTTAAATGTTGGACCCGGAAATGGTCTGGAGCAGCAAAATGGTACCATATGTCATATCACATCACACGATCCGCAGCAGCAGCAGTCGTCGCAACAAGCTTCACATTTAAATGTGGGCACAGCAGCTGGGCCAAATGCCGATGACGCCAATGATGGTGGCGGCCTGCAAACCATAATAAAAAGTGAGGAAGCCAACGCTGCCCATCAGCATCAGTCGCAGCAGAATGGCGCCGTTTCGCATACCTATGTTTTGCCGCCTTTTTTGCATTAAAAGAAATGCTTGCACACCAGCATAAACATCCGTCGGCCACAATTTTGCAGAATCGTCAAGCCCAGCAGGTCCAAAAGCGTTGGCTTTTACGTAGACAACAGCAGCAGCGGCAGCAGCAAGAACAAAGGGAAAGACTACTAAAATGTCGAACTTTTTGTCGACCCTTATGAAAGGGAAGCAAATTGTTGAAAGACCCTATCAGGTACTACTATATTGGCAATTCATTATATTGAGGGTATTTTCGGAACTTCCAAGGTATTTTTAAACCCTCCACCATGCATAGTATGAAGGGTATATTAAGTTCGTCATTCTGTTTGTAAATAATCGAAATAACAACTTTAGACCCAACAAAGTATATATATTCTTGATCAGCGTAGAATTCTGAGACGATTTAGCCCTGTCTGTCCGTCCGTTTGTCCGTCTGTTGTAATCACGCTAGAGTCGAAACGAATAATGATAGGAAGCTAAAATTTGGCACCCATCTGTCTTTTGTCTGCAGGCAGGTCAATTTCGAAGACTCCATCGAAGTGCCCATGTAACGGCACCTCCCGAGCTTCGGTATTTTGATGATTTAAGCCACATTTTTCAATGGAATTATTTGAAAATCCACACAAGTAGTTCCCTCAGAGTACTTTACCCCCTGGCAGAGATTGTCTATATAGGTCTATGATATCGTATAGCCCCCCTATAATTGTACCTCCCTATATTCGGTATTTTGATGATTTTAGTCGCATTTTTCAACGGAATTGTTTGAAAATCTACACAAGGAGTTGTTTGTGAGTACTTTACCCCCTGGCAGAGAATTGTCTATATAGGTCCTCGATATCGTATTGCCCCTATATAACGGCACCTCCCGATATTCGGGTTTTTTTGATGATTTAAGCCAAAATTTTCAATGGAAATGTCTGAAATTCTACACAAAAAGTTCTTCGTGACTACTTTACCCCCTGGCAGAGAATTGTCTATATAGATTCACGATATCGTATAGCCCCCATACAATAGTGCCCCCCGATATTCGGTATTTTGATGATTTTAGTTACATTTTTAATGGAATTTTCTGAAATTCTGCACAAGGAGTTCTTTGTGAGTACTTTATCCCCTGGCAGAGAATTGTCTCTAAAGGTGTACGTTTTAGCATAGCACCCATATAACGCTACTCCAAGATAATCGGTATTTAAAGGATTTTCACGACATTATTCCCCCAGAATTGTGTTAAATTTCGTATTTGAAGTTCGTAATGGGTACTACAACCTATGATGGAAAATTCTCCATGCAGGTATACATTTTCGTATAGCTCCTATATAACGGCACCTTCCGTTTATTCGTTATTCTGAAGATATTAGCGAAATTATTCACCGAATTTTTTTCAAATTTGGTATTTGAAGTTCGTAATGGATACTACAGCCTCTGACAGAAAATTGTCTGTGCAGGTCCACGTTTTCGTATAGCACCCATATAACGCTACCCCAAGATATTCGGTATTTCCAGGATTTTCGCGACATTATTCTCCAGAATTGTCTCAAATTTCGTATTTGAAGTTCGTAATGAGTACTACAAGCTATGACGGAAAATTGTTTATGCAGGTCCACGTCTTATTGTAGCTCCCGATTCACCGGTACATCCCTTTATTCGGTATTTTGATGATATTAGCGACATTATTCACCGGAATTGTTTCGAATTACGTATTTAAAGTTCGCCATCGTTACTATAACCCGATGCCCAATGAAATTATTTATCCAGCACCACGTCTTTGTATAGCCCCCATATAAAGGTATTCGGGTGAGCGGTATTTGTCGACGATTTTTTTTTTTAAATTTTCAAGTTCCTTCTGTATGGTGGAAGGTATTAAAAGTTCAGCCCGGCCCGGACTTCCAAGGTATTTCGAAACTTGGCGAAATTTTTAGTTTTTGTCCAAGAAGTTAGGAGAAAATATTTATGGTTATCATGCTTTTCTCTATCCAAAAGCCCACAATTCTGCTTTTATGAAACCCCTCCCTGTGTATGAAGGAAATGCCATGCCGTGGTCTTTTTTCACCTTGTTTGTATGTATTTGTGTGTCAAGCATTTCTTTTGTTATCTATTTTTGTAATTAGTTTATAAGACTATTTTTTAAAGTAAACCTAAGAAAAAAAACAACAACAAAATCCAAAGTCTTGTCCAAAGTTTAGCCATAAGTAATTGTATGCCATTAAAGTTGTAGAATCTATTCCAAAAAAATGCATTCCAAATGTGCCTTAAATCTTAGTTTTAATTTTTTTTTTTTTTCAAAGCCTAAAAGAGGTTTATCAGAGTTTAGGATTACAATTTAAAATAGTTTACAAAATTAAAATTAGCCATTACTTTTAATACCAAACATGTTCCATATATAGCGGATAAGTAAGTAGTATATATAAAAATAAACAAATCAATTGTAAATTTAACAAAAAGACAATGCATTCCAAATGTGCCTCCCATTTTTTTCAATTATTTTAAAGTATCATTCAATTATATTAATGTCAAAATAATTATTACAATTTCTATTAAAAAAAACCCTTGTAACCGAAGAAAAGAAACACTGTTGTGCGTTGTGACAATAAATATTTATTTATATTAGATTAGATTAAAAACCAATGGAGGTCCAAGTTCACCCACTGTTGTCGTTTCGTTTCATTTTTTTTTTTTAATTTGTATCTTTAAAATTTTACAATTAGGTGTACTTTAAAAACCATAAATAATTGCTGTCTTATTTAAATTAATGTTATGTCTTTCCTTCTAGGCTAATGTCAATAAATATATATTTTTATAATTTAAAATTTTATTTTTTTATAATTATATATAGTTTGTTTTTCTTTTGTAAAAAAAAACTAAAACAAAAATAAGGAACATTTCGTAAAATATATAAAAACAAAAAAAAATAACAACAATTTTTAAATAATAAAAAAAAAGAATTTTCTTAAAAAAAAAAAAACAAATGTTATTCTTTCACTGGGTATTAAAACCTTGTTGTTTAACCTCCTCCCAATTGGTATCGGCAAAGTATTCATGCTGTTTGATACGCTCATAGTCGAGACGCTCTTCCGGTTCCTGTTGCAGTAACCTTTCCAATAAGTTACGCTTAACTTTGGGTATTTCAACATTTTCCGGATATTGCACAAAACCGTACAAATCAATTTGTCCCGGATGAGCAGCTTTGAAGGGCTGAAAGGTAAAAAAATACACAAATATTATAATTTTTGGCCGATACCTACTATGTTTCTAGGTCTAAGATTTCCAATTTTCTGAAATTTCCTGAAAAAAAGTTATTCGTGATGGAATTCAAGGGTGTGACTTCTTTATATTTGGCTGGAAAAATGTCTCGTGAGCTGAACATATCGCAATATTCAATTCGGCAAATATTGAAAATGAGCTCGGGGTAAAGCCATTGAAATTCCAAAAAGTGCAAGAACTTACACCGCAACAGAAAGAGTTGCTTCCTTGGCCGAAAGTGGTGAGCTGCGGAATTTGGTTTTCTCCGATGAGAAAACATTCGTTGTCCAGCAGTTTGTAAACAAACAAAATGATTTTCAGCTGCCAAAGAGGTCAGCTGAAAAAGTGCACCTTCAGTTGGCCACCAGAACTCGAGCTCCGGCCATGGTGATGCAAAACTATTTGTATGTGTGAAATTTGAAGAGAATTTGAGAGAGTTATTTCGCTTTCCTTGAGCGTTTTGTTTTTCAAAATCTTGAACCCTATGTGGGAGAGGTACCAGAAGAAATGGCCCGATCTCCACAATCCTTATAACAGATCTTGTGTTGATTGGAATATTGAGATGTAATAAGTCTGAATGAAATCTGATGTTAATTTCGCTTTTTATGAGCTTTATGAATATTCAAAATTTTGACCTTTTCTTGGGGGGGGGGGGGGGGGGGGGGGTTTACCAGAAGGAGTAGACCGATATATCCCATCTTCTCAGCATATCTTGTGTTAGTAGAAATAACGGGATGTGTGAAATATGGAGAGAACCGGATGCTTATTTCGGGTTGTATGATCGTTTTGGTTATTCAAAACTATGACCCTTTGTGGGGGAGGTACTAGATGGAATGGTTCGATCTCTACCATCTTTATAACAAATATTGTGCTGATGGAAATATTGAGATGTACCAAGTCCGAAGGAAATCGGATGTTAATTTCGCGATATATTAGCTTCAGGAATGTTCCAAATGTTTACCATTTGTAAGGAAGTTACCAGAAGGAGTAGACCGATATATTCCATTTTCTCATCATATCTTGGAAGATCCGATCGTACCAATATACCCATAATGTCATCACATGTCGTTGGCATATGCTTTCTCAGTCATACCACAATCCCATATTCAACCTTTCCCAAATACCTATACCTATGTACTTACCAAACCAACAAACAGTTCATACAAAATAACACCATAACTCCACCAATCTGAACGCAAAGTAAGTGGGCGTTCGGGTGCCACAAAGTGATTATCCAAGGCCTTGGGATTTAGGGCTTTGTGAATGAAACTATCCGATGAGAGGCCTTCATTTTGATAAAAATATGACAAAAGTAATTGACTATTTTCATCCAATAATAAATTGTCCATATGCAGATCACTGAAAGGCAAACATCACTCGATTATTATTTCATTCGAAAAAAAAAAAAACAAAACAAGTTTAAAAACTTACCACAAGATGACACTTTTCTCGTGTAGAGCGTGAATGGCAACCAGAAGTTGTTGGGACCATTTCTTGAGGAAATGTTGTGGAATGCTATACAGAAGTATGCCATTCATTCGACGGGGTATAAATTCCGATTCGTTTATTGTATTTGATACAGATTCAATTAGTTGTTTAGAGGACTCTACCAGGTCTGGCACCAGATCTAGCGCATCCATTGAGATTTTACAAATATCTGAAGATGGATCTTCCTCTTCATTGCATTTCTGAGCATTCTCATTGCTCAGATTTTGGGAATGTACGTAATCGATTAGTTTACCACCCAAGGCCAGCTTGAGAAGTAAAAAGATTTTCTGATCCGATTGAAAGAATGCCAACAGATCGACCATATACGGTATATGCTGTGGAAGGAATACTGTTTGGGTTGGCGAATTGCTGGAGGGTTTTTCAATGCCTTTCATTACATATTGCGGTTTCAATGGCTCGGTTATGCACGACACCAGCAATACCTTATTACCCAAAAGGGCATTGACTTTATATTTAGCCATGTGATGCCAAGGTCGTTCCAAATAAAAACCTGAACTTTCCGAATTTGTATTGCATGACACATCCAAAGCCAGTTGGAAGTTTGATGTTGAGAAAATGGAAGCAATTGATCTTTGAGAATTTTTCAAAAATCTCTCATGTATATCTTCAGCCCGAGCCAAATATTTGCTTATCTTAGCTCTGGCAATGTACACGCGATCGTCATTTAAATCATCTTTGCAACCTTTTAGTAGAATGTCAACGCCCGATTTATAACGCGTGTAGGCATCATTATAATCCAAATTAGCTTCGGCTTGTACAGCTGAACTGAATTCGAGAGCTGCATCGTAAATATAGTCGCTATCTTCGCTCTCAACCGAAGCCATGGGGGTCAAAAAGCGTAAATTACATTTTGTTGTTAGGCTTGTATCGAGACTGGTATCATTGTCAGAGCTTTTGCCATTATCAACAATCGCATCTCCTTCCCCCTCCACATCCTCCGCCTTCTCATATTCATCTTTGTCGTTTGGAAATATTTCTGCTATTATAATATTCTCCCTTGATTTCACACTGCTGTCCACAGTATCAGTTTCTATTTCCAAACTCCTTCCGACCAAACTACGTGCCGCCTTTTGTACAAGTTTTTGTATTTTATTCGACGGCGTTGCTTCGCTACTAAAGAATTGGGCAAAACTGTGTGACTTATACAATGCTGGATGCTGGGCCACAAAATCCAACAATGATACAATGTAGGCCTTGCGTTTTCGTATAACATCCTGATCGAAACGCTTAAAAAATGAACAATCTATAGGTTCGGGCATATAGCCGGATAGGCCAAGACTCTTATGCCTTCTCTTCAGTTCACGATGTAGCTTTTTTATGTCGTGGAAACGTCGCCATACCACCAATGTTGTTAAAGCCTGGGGCACCGCTCGGGGGAAAACCTTGGGTCAACGAAACAGGGAGGATTGAAAATATCTAGGGCCTTTCTTTAATTATTCAATACTTACAATGGATGTAATCTTGTAGAGAGTAAAGCCAGCCTTGTGGGTTTGAGTATCCGTCACAGCAAAGCTATGTATCCAGCCCCCCAAATCCGGTGCCATATTGTTGCTGTTGTAATTCAATGGACAACTAAGGTTTTAAATATTAATTTTTTAGCATTTCTATGTCTGATGATTGTTTTGAATCCAAAGAATTAAAAAAATTTAAGAAAGTTTAATTTTTAATTTATATTTTCCAAACAGACAACGATGTCGAAAGATTTTTTCGTCTGCGTCGGCTTTTGGCATATAACAGGCGTACCTAAAAACAGTCATACGCTTTTAACAGAATTTAATGTCATGTTTACGTTAGAACATTTTGTAGAGTTAACCAATTCTAAAAGGATTTATTTGAAGTTTAAATAATGGATATGACAATTTTAATTCAAATCCAGTTTGATAACCCATTTATATGTAAACGTACTGTAATATTGTTGAAAATCAAGGCAGCAACAAACTCTAGATGATTTGACTTTAAATTCGATATGCAATGCAACAACGGCCATGGTGCGGAAACATTTTCGCGGTACAGGAACAGAAACAGCGACACTATATTATATAATATAATATAATAATAGTCCTATATTTCATGCACGGTAAAATTAAGAAGATAAAGTCATTTCAAATGAGTATTCCCATCTTTGCATTTTCTGTAATTTACCTTGTGAAATTTAACTGCATAGAAAGCAGATTTCCATCTCTGATTTGTGTACAGGGTGAGATGAAAAAACTGCAACCAACTTCAGACTGCTGTCATTTCTAAGTCCCTCGTCTGACAGCAGTTAAAATTATTCACGCGACGGCTCATTACATTGTTTACAGGCGTACAAAAGCAACTTGGTGAGAATTTTCCAGAAAAAAAATTTATTCGTAATGGTATGCAAGCGTGATAGTGTGATTTCTTTATATTTGGCAGGAAAACCACAAGTGGATATCGTCCAGAATTTAAATATGAATAGATCTTTTGTGTCTTGTACCATCGCTCGTTACCGTGATACTGGTTGCATAACCCGACGTCAAGGAATTCGACGGAAGAAACCAGCAACATCAGCAGAAATGGTTCGAAAAGTGAAGAAGCGAAGTGATCGAAACACGCATGGCTCGTGAACTGAACATATCGCAATATTCCATTCGGCAAATATTAAAAAATGAGCCCGGGGTAAAGCAATTGAAATTCCAAAATGGTCCAAGAACTTACACCGCAACAGCGCACAATGGCTACCAAAATCTCCGGATCCCAATGCGTTGGACTATTGTCGGGAATGAGCCAGAATACCGCAGAGCAACAGTCGCGCAGCGTGTGACGATTTCATTGGCCGTTTGAAGGACATAATTCGTGCCAAAGGTGACCAATTCGAACAACTCTAAACTTATTCTAAATTTTAATGGTATTTCCGACATTTTTTGCTCTCAATCAATTAAAAAAAAAAAAATGTAAAAATATTGACTTGACTTTGTTGCAGCTTTTTTATCTCACCCTGCACATCCAGGGGAATAATATGAAAACATTAAAATTTAATATTTTAAAGAACTGACAGTTTAATTTCGAACATGACTAAGAATGTGTATTTTTTTAAAGCAGCTTATCCAGTTTTGCAACATTGACATGTCAACAATTTTAAAATGTTGTTTTTTTAAATAAGTAGATTTTTATATCTTTTTTTATACGACGTCAATCGGAGGTTGTTATGATGTGTATTTTTCAACAATTTTTTGTCGAATTTGAATAATATTTCATTTAAAACATATAATTGCAAAATAATTTTGACAGTTCATTATCCCAGCAGCTGTGTCGATGCGACAACCTGTATTTGTCTATCATGCAATCTACTTAAAACCTCAGACGACGTTCTTTTTTTTTTTTGTTTACAAAAATGTCACTCCTATTTTCTTAAATAGTTATTAAATTAATTTCATATTTATTTAAATGATAACGATAGCAGTGTATTACCCTATTCACAAAGAAACGTAAAATTTTTAATTATAATCCAAGAAATTGACAACTCAAATTAAGATTTTTTTTGGAGTTTTTCGAAAATATTTCCAATTTAATTACAGCCAGATAAAGTCGTACAGCATACGCTGTCATTTAGTTAAAAGCCGCATTGACATTTGACAGGCATTGCCAACAGTGCTTTTCTGCGCACTACTACAAAACTACAAAAAGGTGCGGCCATATTGGTTATATTACCTTTCCTTGTTCCACTCATGTTTCGGCCATATCGGCATGCAAAAAATTTCTCGTTGCCTTGCTTGCAATTGGCGACAAAACCACAAAAAAGGAACGAAAAACTAGTGTGACGACGATTCTATACAAATCAAATCGAGAAGCAGCGGTGTAAAGACGACGGCGATTATCAACCATTTTAAAAGTGTGTATTTTTTATTGTCACAAAAAAAGAAAAGAAATAATTTTCGCTGAATTCTAAGTAAAAACAAAGAAAACATTCATAAAAGTGACTCAGTGATATAGAATTTAAAAGAAAACACTGAAAAACCATTTCTTTTTCTCTTCTCCGACCAGGATTTCAGAGCGACTTTACCCTGCGTACACCCAACGACATTGAAAAACACACACACACACGCATACATTATAGAAGAGAAGCGGCGGCTTGTCAGAGAAACAGAAGAAAAAACGTAGTAGAGAAAAAAAGTTAAGCAAAAAAAAGCAAGAACAAGAACGAAGGCGACCAAGTCGTAACTGAAATACAGAAGCACAACGACCGACGCCGGGATTCAAACGAAACTGTTGTTAAATTGTTAAAAAATTAACAAACAAGAACGCAGAAAAAGGCATTAAAACACCTTTTCTCTACAAATACACAAAAACAACAACAGCAACAGCAACTCTACCACAAATAAACTATTTGCACAATGTCTGAACGGGAAAATAATGTGTACAAGGCTAAATTGGCCGAACAAGCAGAACGCTATGATGGTGAGTAATAGTTTAAAAAAAATTAAAACAGTAATCAACTTTTAAAAGATGTCTATTGGCCAAGTAAAAAGCATCGGATGCCAGCTTCCATCTATACCAAAGACTCGCTAAATGGATAAAAATGGAAAATTTTTCTCTGGAAGAATCTCATAATGTGTTGTGCGATGGGGAAGGGGAACAATGAAAAAAAGTCAAGAAAACCTGAATGTCTATCAGTCGGTCTGTGTTGCCTCTCCGTCTTTTCGTCGTTGGTTGGCTGGCTGGATGGATGGTGCGTCAGCAGTCAAAGCAATCAAAGGCCAGTAGTGTCTTGAACAAACCACCACATAGTAGAACATCCAGCCGAGCTGATGATGAGTAAAAAGTTTTCGTAGAAATCGCAATGATAAATACAACAAAACTAGTTTTTGGCCGGCAAAATTCTTCGGCGGCGTGTTTTTTTCCCTCAATTATGCCTTGTCTTAAACGACAAAAAGCTTCTTGTGGCTGCCTGGATTGACAATGACTTATTTTTTACCAAGAAAATCTTTTTTCTTTTGCTGTCAAATTATTTGAAATTGGTGAAGAAAAAAATTTTCTTGGTTAAAATCTCAAAGAGTATAGAGAAAATTTCCATAAATGTATATGACGACAACGGAGGCGGCGGCGGCGACGACGATGGTGGTGATGACTATGGAGTGACTGCTGCGTCGATGTGATGTGGATAATGTAGGGGGGTGCGGGGTTATGTTTATTTTAGGGTGGTGTCTTGCACATGAGTGTAATTTATTTTTCATATTCTCGAGAAGTGTTATATCTAAATTTAGATACATTTTCTTTTTTACTATCTTTAGAGTCGTCGTCGACGCCGTTCAAAATCCCAGTAATGAGGAAGTAAAATGTGCTGCATAGCAAACAAAACTTTTTTTTATTACTTTATGGTGGAGACGGCAAACGAAAAAAATTTTCGTCTTAAAATGTGGTTTTTGCAATTTCGAGTCATCATCAGCGCCGTCTTTTTCGTTGTCGTCGTCGTCGCCAGTCTCTCATTATCTCCTATTGCCATTTCACTTGCCATAACGACAAAGTTGTGCTTTAGTATCCTGTTTGCCGTTTGAGTGAATAGCACCGCTAGCTAGGTTACAAAATTCGCAGATTCGCAATATTATTGTTGTTGCCTTGTTTGTTAACTCTTTGGGCTTACTCAGTCTCCTTTTTTGTTTGTTCTCTCGTTTGATGAGAGTTTTTGTTGCCCCCCTTCCCTTGCTCATCATACATTTGGTTTGTTGAAATGTGTGTGATTTGCTTTGCAAAGGTGTGTGCGTCTGTTTGCGTGCGTTTTGTGTGAGCTGTTCGTGTTACAAGCGCGAAAAATCGATGAATGAATCGATCGTTGTTGCTTTGCGCGCTGCTAACAAGTAACCAAAAAGTTCGAAAGCACACACACACACACACACATGCACTTGTAATCAAAGCGTGCAGAATTTGGTGTATACACACAGAAGTTGGTTGGACTGTGTGTGTGTGCGTACGTTTGTTCGTTTTTTAAACAGAGTTGCCATGGTACATATTTGTTCTCCCCCCAAAAAAAGTTGGGGAAACAGTTTAGCAATAAATGAAATGAGTTTCGTTTCCCCCAAAATATGCATGCCATGCGCACATCGTCACCGCTGTCATTGCCGTCGTCACACACGCAAATGACTTAAAAATGAGTCATCAATTCACTCTCTTCGGTTTGTGTTTGACATAGGGGGAAAGGGGAAGTAGGTTTTTTTTGCTTAATTTAAAATTGAGATTTGTTTGTAAACAATAGTTTTTTTTCTTTTGTAAACTTTACTGATCGGTTGTAATAATTTTGGTTTGGTAAGGGGTGGGAGAAGAAGAGGGAAGTTGGTGGCCATTCATTGGCGCCAATGAATAAATGACAATATCGACGATTACACAGGGAAAATGAATTAAAAGATTTAAATGGTAAATATTTGTTTTTATAAACAATTTTTTAATGAAGGACTTGTATATAATTAATAAAAATTAGAATGCCTGTAAATGGGACACAATTTCGATAAATGTCAAGTCTAAGAACAGGCTCCCAAATTACTGATGTGTTTAATCCTCAATGTCAAGGCTAAGAATGTAATCCTCTTTAGGCACAAGTCAAAAAAAAAAAAAAAAAAAACAAATAATATTAGTTGTACCCCCAAAAATATGTGTAAAATTGAAAATAAAACTGTTGGCGTTAGTGTCTGCAACGGCCACACTTTATGAAAAAATTATTTAAGGTAGTTCCTGGTTGACGTCTTTTGGACAATCCAAATCATAATCTATCACTCCAATGTGAAATCTTTTATCTGTCTGTCTATTAAAGAATGTCCTCTGTCTTTAACTTTGACAATCAATCTAACTTTACAGAGGATCGTCCTAGATGGCTACATAATTTTTATGGTATTGAAAATGGGAGGCATATGTCTCCATGTTTTCGTTTAGTCCCTCCCCCATAGGAAGGTGCTTCACGATATTTGATATATTACCCCCCCCCCCCACACACACACACATTTGGTATTTTGATGACAATAGCCACATTTTTCAACAGTGTTATTGTTTCAAATTTCGAGTTTGTAATAGGCAACATTACCACAGGTAGAACATTTTAAGGCCCTTATATAACAACAGTACATCCTGGTATTTGGTATTTTGACGATTGTCGCCACATTTTCCATCCATCCATAAAGCGCTTATTTGGCTGGCTTAAGTCTTCGGCTGGATTCTTCGGAAATGAATAAAGGAACTTATGGCCAAAATCGAACTAAGTCAACCTAAAACTCCATTGTTCCTCTACGAAGAAGACAGCCGATGACTCAAGCCAGCCAAATAAGGCCTTTATGTATTCCCACCTTTACTCTATAAGTCCATGTTTTCCTATAGTTAGCTATCATATGCCTCCTTGTATGGCGTTTTTTGATCATTTCAGGTACAATTTTCAACTGAATTGTTTCAATTTTGATATTTGGAGTTTGTAATTGGCTACTACCATTCAATCTCCTCTGACCGAAAATTAGATAATCAGATCCTCGTTTTAGTAGAATTCTGCTTAGATGGGTATTAGGATCGCAGTTTTTTTATTGGCAATAGACCAAATAGTTCGACGTTCTGATATAGCCCCCATATAGTTGTACCGGCAGATTTAAGGTGTTTTATTTATTTATTTATTTATTTATTAATCCATTTGTAATAAAAAGGCCTAATAGACCATACATAATTATTACATAGCCTACCTTAAACCTGAGTTAAAAAACAATTCAATAATAAAAGTAAATAAATTCACAATTTCATGATATATACATACGTACATACATTATACTACTATATAAAGTACTTGTTATTATTATTATTATTATTGTTATTGGCTCCCCAGCCATAAAAATTTGAATACAAGGTAATTAATGTCCATGTTAACAATAACTTTTAGATTAGATAGCAAAAAAAAAAAAAAAAATCAAGTAATAAAACTGCTACATATAACAACAACAATTAGGATGCAAGATGTTGAAGCAGTTTTAATCGAAAAACATTGTTAGAATGTGAAAAAACTCTTAATTCCTGGGGTAATGTGTTCCAACATCGCGCGACCCGTACCAGAAACGATCGTGCATAATCATTTCTAAAGATCCTAGGAATAAAAATTTGAGGGTTTCTAGTTGAATGAGAAAATGTGAAACTCATCCTCAAAGAAACTGGTCTACCACTTCTTATTATATTATAAAAGGATACGAGATTACGACAGGTAATTAATTCATTAAATGAACATCCGATAAACCGTTTCACATATTCAGATATATGCTCTCTTCCACGGACCTTATATACAAACCGAACTATAGAATTTACGATTCTTCGTAAGTGGAGAAGGTGAATACCAGTAGCACCGGACACTACCTCAATGCCATATAATATTGTAGACATTAACAGAGCATGCGCCAACTTTTCCTTTACATAGCAAGGTAAATATAGGTTACATGCATAAAACCGTCGTAAATAAGACCACACCTTCCCAGATATGATGTCAATATGATTCTTAAAAGACAACTCATTATCAATTACCACTCCTAAACATTTATGATGGGGGACAAATTCCACATCATCATTAAGCAACTTTATATTAATAGTATGATTTTTAAATGCTCCAAACATCATGGCCTTTGTTTTGGTTGGATTTATTGTAAGTAAATTCATGGATGACCAATATGAAAACTGAACAAGGCACGTATTAATGCGATTTTCAAACACTGACGGCGACTCACGGTCACCACTAAAAAGGAGGAAAATATCATCCGCGAATTGATAAGTTTTGCATGAATCAGAATCAGTGACATCCTTAAGATCATTCACATACAAAATAAATAAAAGTGGTCCTAATACCGACCCCTGCGGTATGCCACTATAGGTCAAAATAGTATCCGACTGACAACCGTTCAGAGCCACAAACTGGGACCTATCACTGAGATAAGAATACATAAGCCTACACGCCGTGGACGAAAAATTAAATATATTCTTAAGTTTATTTATCATAATTATGTGATCTACGGAGTTAAAAGCTTTTGATAAGTCCAGAGAAACAAGTACACTTACTCTGCCCTCGTTGATATTCTGGCGTATATTATCCGTTGCCTTTATAAGCAAGTGTGTAGTGCTATGCCCTCTTCGAAATGAATATTGAGTGTCAGATATTAGACTCGAAGTATATTCCACAATTTGATTCTTCATTATAATCTCTACTATCTTAGATACAGATGGTAGTATAGAAATTGGGCGAAGGTCATCTGGGCAACTAACATTATTCGATTTGGGGATGGGGACAACACGAGCTTTTTTCCATGCAAGTGGAAAAGTTGAGCTTACTAATATATAGTTCACGAAGTGTAAAAATATATCCATGACGTACGGGTAAATTAACTTAATAAATCGTATGGGTATCATATCCACCCCTACTGATTTAGAGTGAATTTTGTGCAATGCTTCAAAAATTT